ATGGATGGATGGATGGATGGATGGATGGATGGATGGATGGATGGATGGATGGATGGATGGATGGATGGATGGATGGATGGATGGTTAGGCGGACCGATGAATGAATAGGACTCCGAAAGGAAAGACAAATAAGGAATTCGAAGGGATAAACACGTGAAAGACAAGCGACGAGGAATATTGTGAAACACTAAGTTCGATATCGAGGGCAGGTGGGAAGTGGCAACAGCAGAATTATTTGCTCAAAAATTAGGTCACATGAAAGTGGGCGAATAAAAACAACGACGGGTTTGGTTTCACGTTGAAAGCACGAAAGCACATCGACAGCAACAACGAAAATCAATATAAACAAGACACCACATCAATGGGCTAACTGTGAATGCCCGTGAAACGCACATTACGCCGGTTGCGTAGAAAACGATGTATACTGAAGGGATCCTGGAGACAAAGACATCAGGTGTTAGGTATCAATAAGGTATTTCTGGTGGACAGCTGACAAAAGAACCACTACAAAACAAAAGCGAAACTTTCATGAACTCATTTATTATTTTAATAAATGATGATGCTGCAATGATACTGCAATCAAGTGTTGCACGATTGCGCCCTCTCCCAACGATTCCGTCTTCGGCGACAGCAATGTTGATGCCTAATGAGAAAGAAACACCTGAACAATATTTTCACCCAACCAGGTCGAACACAGTTGTACAATGCGTCCTAGCTTTTCAGTTCAGGCTTCATTCGCTATAAACAAGACGACAAATTCCGTTCATTGGGTAATAAAGACCAAACCATCTTTTTCCAGTTGATGCCAATGGAAAAACTACCTGTAAGAACTGCGCTGGTGCTCCATTATTTCTGCGGCTAAAACAACAGACTTTTTCATTTACTTCAAACAATAGCTCTATTCCGGTTACCATTTTGGATCGTCGATCCAGATTCAATGTACTTGCACTAATCATTAGATACTGCTCTGATGATATGAGCTACGATATCAAAGCTACTGTTTTGACAGGCTTGGATATTATATTCTCCGACTTTCGGTGAACCTGTCACAAACGGAAAGTATTTCTTCCTTCCTTTCTGGAAATTTTCTGATTACGTTATTACGTTCCCTAAGTGACTGCTCTATATCGGCGAAGATGTTTGCAAATTACCAGTTGGTAGGAACTCACTACCTTGTTTACAATCTCGAATCTTCCTAAATGTTCCCTGCTGAGTGTTCAGTCATTTGACCTTAATGAGGGTCAAATTAATTTTTCGATTAACTCTACCTTTAGTTTTATAAACGTCTGCACATATCGATTTATGCTGGGCGTGGCCCATGACGACGCAAGCTTTGTTGGGCCAAAGGCAGTTAGAAATTCACCCACAATACGTTGTCTACTAACGAGGCAAGAATGCGATGAATATGTGAACATTGACTAATTCTGATTGTTTTCAGTAGTACGTATCGAACAACGGTTTCATTTACAATAGGTGTAAAGAGCTAAAATAGAACAATATGAAAGTCCATTAGAATCTCAGGAAAAGCTTATTTCAGGGAGAGAGCACACGTGTATCTGAGTCCAGACTGTGTGCCAAACAAATTACTCCAAAATAATCTTTATAATGAGGAAATCAATCCACGATTTTCCCAGTGGATGGAGTATTTCCAGATTGCCCAAGCCACAGTAGACGAATGTCCTTTTGGAATTTACAACCGGAGTACGTGACTAGGCAAAACCTGACCAGTAAGGCAGCGGGGTGGTGTTCGAAAACGATAATAGAACAGGTGAACCTGCTCGTTTCAATTATCAGCATCATCGTAACTGATGATGATGCGTGTAAAATATTCACCTTTCAAATTATCAGCAAATTAACTATCTTTCCACTGTTTTACGCTCCTGGAGATTTTTCATCTTTCGCTTGTCTATGATATGTTTTTCCTCGGTGGTTACTCATTCCTAAATCGGAAGTCACATTTCAACCCAAACTTCCTCTTGCGTACTGGGATCCCCATTCTCTTGCCCCTGTTGGCTCTGATCTAATTGATTACACCCTTTTCGATTAGCAATTGACCTGTTAAAAACGAAATAGCTCGCCCTGATACATGCTAATACAAACACGGATATAACTGATTTCATTCGCGAGTGAAACGTACCGGGGCAACGGATGTGGTCAAACGACCTTCGAGGGGTGTGATCTTATTCACTCGGAACATTTCTTGAACAATGCGTTCCGCTTCGGACAATCGATTGGCCGAGACGAGATAGCGTGGAGATTCCGGAAGAAACTGCACAGAGTGGACACGAAAACAATCACAGAAGCGCGATAAAGATAACCGACGATTTTGAGCAAACACACTAGCGTGAAAAATTATTTGCAAATTCAAATGAAATCATTATAACTGATTTTGAGCACCAAAATAAAAAAGATGACCAACTGAGGGGAAATGAAATCAGCTTATTGATGAAACCGTATCAACTGCCTCAATACATTGCACAGGGAAAGGTTTCAGAATTACGTTAATTCTATCAAATCGGAAAGTCCACCCGGTCGGACGAAGCACATGAGCATGACAGGCAACGGGTTCAGGTACTACACGATTGGTTAAGCTTAACCTGACTGTATGGGCTACTAGGCGCACGATGACCTGAGTGGGCAACTATCATTTCAGAAACACCATCTTATTTGTTCCTGTTTGAAAAAAACGTTTTTGCATTGTGTCACAGTTGTACCGATTTATTTTTCACTTTGTTAAGAATAAGGCGTTCGAATTTTTCTCATACTTCCCGACGGCTCAGACCCAAAGCGTTCAGCCAGACTAAATGAGTTTTGTCATCCTCCGTTAAGTCCATCTTGCAACGACTAAGAACTGTGACTTATCATGAACAGCGGAAGGCGGTCGGCTTTCCCTACTACAAACACCCAAACGATTCAGAAGGCTGTGTGAACGGGCTGGTGAGTTTTGATCACCCATTGCACAGTTTCGTCGGATAAAAGTTCCAGCGCAGCTGAAAATGCTACTCAGAAGTGCCTTTGTCTTAGTGAATCACCTCATACCCTGTGAGAAACAAAAGCGAACTTACCAATGGATGTCTACAGACGCTAATGGTACACATTTTTCATCAGAAAATCATGAATAGATGGCAAGGCGAATAATCCGTTTGGAATATGGGTAAGTCCTTGTGCTGAGTAGAGCCAGCAACACTTATTTTAGATGACGCGATTTCCTTCGAATACGATTTTTGTCCACTGTTCTCGCTCCGTTCAACAGACTTCATTCTTTTTACATCGGAGGGATTAATGATGATGTTCTGATTATCATAGCTAAAAGAACTGTATATTATTATTATTATTATATTATTATTATTATTATTGTTATATACTCCATTCTGCTGTTAGTCATTGCAAAGGAATGGAGGAATATCTGGAATCAAAATGCGGTATTTGGATTAGAAAAAATGCTCCCTAAAGAACGGTAAGTACTTCCGGAATAACTGAAAAGGGCTGACTACCGGATGCAAAGTACTAATATTAAGCTGAGGACACCGTAGAAAATCTCAATTTCTTCGACACGGAAAGGATGTACAAGACGGTGTATTTAAATTCCGCTATGATTACACGACATAATTGTAAATATTAGGAACACATGACAGAAGTAACGTAGTTTTTCTTCAATGCGATTTATTTTGTCACAAAACTCCCAACCGATTTTTCATAATACTTAATAGCAACTAAATGCCATATCACAGTTCCTGGAATTTGCCTACATTGTCGAATTCCCGAGGGGTGCAACATAGCAGGAGATTCACTACATACTGAAACCAATCGATACGTTGCTTATGGCCAGCGTTGGTCAAGATCGGTGCAGCTGTTATTATTCCTGATCATAGTGACGGCTTAAGTTCAACACGTGATGCTATGACGTGATTCACGAAGTAGAAGTGTATCGCTTAAAGACAGCAGGATGCACATTCGCTTAATTTGACCCCGGTCGCACGATGACCTTGGGTGAGTGACCTGTCCCATTTCATCAGTTTTCTACAAAGGATAAACGTAATTATCGATCGTTCCATTACTCAGACGCGTCAGTGCGACGGTGGTTTACACAACTACGTTAGTACGACAGAATCTATTGAACAACTGAATTTCGCTCCCATCAGCGAGACTAATCTTACGGCCGCAAACAGGACCGTGGCTT